CCCAGCATCCCAGCACTTTAAAAAAAAAAAAAGACTTGCACTCACTGTCTGCTGCAGTGGCTGTCAGGGTCTCTGGGGGCTTGTGGCAGAGCCCCTGCACACAGTGGGGGGCAGCAGGGATTCCCCCCCCCCAATCGAGCAGCAACTGGTGAGTGTGGGGCACTTTTTTGTTTATTTATTTATTTATTTATTTATTTTTAAAGTGCCAGGACACTGGGGCTGGGCAGGGCAGCCATTGATGGGACTGGAAGAGTGGGTGGGGGTTAGGGCCTGTTTGATACGGAGATTTGGCCAATTCTGCGGTGGCTGAATCTCCAAATCAGATTTGACCAAATCAATTCGGGACAGTGATTTGAATCACTGAATTGAATCGCTGTCCCCTGAATCAGCCAAATCCAAATCCAAAGTGAATACTAGCCACTTCGCAAAGGCTTAGTAGGTAACCCCTGGCACAGGTGCCAGAGTGTGGCACGCAAAGGCATTTTGCTTGGCACACACACCTTGGAGCAGATGGCGGAGAAGAGCCTGGGGCTGTGCTACCACAACAAGGATCAGGCCCCTTGCAGCTCCCCTGCCATCAGCACCTGACACACCAACATCTTACAAGTTGAGGCTGTGAGTGTTTTTGGCCCTCTGCCCAAAATCATTGCTGACCCCTGCAAATGTATCGATAATATGTGAGTGGCATAAATAGGTAATTATATATACAAGCAGTAGGGAAATTAATATAATAAAATACGGAATTAAGGGATAAATTGCACCATCATATAATGAAATATCTTTCTTTTACACTTTGGACTGTTTTATGAGCTGTCTGTTTATCAAGCTACCTGGTCTGATGCTAGTCCTTTTTAGTAAATCAACCTCCCAGAAAAATCTTTCCTCTTTTTTTCTCCATCCAGATGTAGAATTTCCTTCCAAAAATTTTACTTTTCCTTGGCCCCAAGACAGGCAGTTTTCAGGGGTTTACTAAAAAAGTTTGTAGTCTAATGCAGTGGTTTTTACCTGGGGTGTCATGCACCTTTGGCTGCTGTGAGAACCTGTCACTGACGCTGTAATACTGGTACTGTTGTGGCTGTGGCCAGGTGAAACTTTTCTGCATGGCTTGGTTTCCAGGAGACATGTTGCAGCTGAACTGGGAAGTGGCTAAAGTAGAAGCAGGCATTCCTGCCTCCATTTGGTTTATCTAATAACCCTAATGCAGGAAAGAGTACGTGCTCCTGTTACAGCTCTTCCCAGTCCAGTCCCACACACAGCTCCTGGAAACAGACGTGTGGGACAGCTCCACCTGGCAGCGGAAGCATCCTATCTCTAGGTTGCTGCTCTGCCTCTGCTGCCAGGGAAACTGTCCCACATGCTCCTGTTTCCAGGAGGAGCATATAGGGCTGGACTGGAAAGGATTGTGGCATGAGAGGGTGAGCCTGCCTGCTTTAAGCTTATCAGATAACCCTAATGGAGGCAGGCATGTGTGCACAGGCTGCAGGCCTCCCTTGTCTGGTTGTGCATGAGGTGTGCAGGGTACTCTTACCTGACAGCAGTGGTGGTAGCAACTGCATCCCAGTTGAGACCCAGCGAGGTAAGCTGAGGCAGCACAACAGTGGTTCTTAACTGGGGTGCAACCAAATTCAAAAAAATTGTGAGAGTGCCCTGAATCTCAAAATGTTGACAACCACAGGTCTAATATCTTTGGACTCATGTGTTTTATAGAATTTCATATCTCCCATAATACACAATTTAAGTTGCTTTGTTTAACTGTTTCTCAATTGGAAATCAAATATCCTGAAACCTCCTAGCAAACAATATCCACCCATGCTGTGTGCATTGTGCGCTGTATATAATATTGGGCTCTATTGTGGGCTCTATCAGTATCTTTAATACTGGAGTCTATCAATTTTCAGTTGTGGCCCCTTTATTTTTAAGGCCATCCAGATCCAGCTGAGGTAGGTGAAAACTCACATCTATGGTACAACAGCATGTTAAACTGGCATTTCTGTACCTGCTTGTCAAGCTAAATGCATATACATTGTACTCTGTATAAGTAATTAGGCTCAGAACCAAAACAGTGTCTGTGCATTTATCTGGAGTATGCACTTATCCAAACTTAATGCTTGTTAGTCCACAGTGCTGTCAATGCTGAGGTATTAACAGCTTTGAAACTGCCTAGCTCCTGTCATTTTCAAAGCATCTGATAGCAGTCCTGAAACTGGCTATAGCTAGTTTTGGGACTGCTAATATCACAGATCTGACAGTGCTGTGTACTTAAGGAGTACTGCTTACAATGCTGTCAGTGCTGTGTTATTAACAGTTGCAAAACTATGTCCCATCATTTTCAAGGCTTGTAATAGCAGCTTTTAGCTGCTTCCCTTTGTTTCTGGCCCAGTTAAATGGTACAGTTAGTTACAAATTAGGCAGGTATGTTTACAGTTAGCATGCAGTCCAGGGGCATTCAATAAAGTTACAAAACAGTGGGACTGAAAGATGCTATAAACTTAATTGGTTTAGGTACTTAATGGATGTTCAGGTTGCTGATATTTGTTACAGTGGAAGCCCCAAACAACAAACTGAGACTGGTGTTGTGTTGCACAGTTAAGTGTATTATATGCTGATCCAGCGTGCACATAACTAGAATACACTGTGTGCAAGATTTGGATGTCCTGTTTAGGGGCCTACCTTTGAAAACTGTTTTGTGAGTTTACACTTCCATTTTCAGCACTGTAATTTCATCAGTGTTCACTGGAGAAACTCCATTTGACAAAGGACAGACTTTGGCTCTGTTTATCTGTTTGTACAAGGCTGCCTATTTGTGTCTCGCTCCCATGTAAATAACTAATTACTGAATGCTTAGAAGTGTGCCTTTGTCCCTTGGGATGGCCTCACATTTTTCAGCAGTCAGAGGCTTGGTGCATAATGTGTATGTCCTCTGGAGACTTTGAAATTGTCTTCTCTGCTTCTTGTTTTTGCTCAGGAGAAGAGGTCAGTGCTGATTATCTTCTGGATCTTGGCTTTCCTTACTGGGAATACCCTCTACTTGCTTTACACATTTAACTCTCAGCAGCTGTACAACAGGTGGGCAGAGGGTAAAACATACTTGCTGGCATTATAGAAAGTAAGAATAGACCTTCTTGCATTAGCTGGGGGAGGGAGAGTATCCATGGCCCACAGCAAATAGTCTGTACACCTCTTATGCCCATGGAGTCCAGGACTATATGTCATGGGGTAATTGATGACAGACAGAGAGCCGTGGTGCTGGAGCCAGATGGGAACACTGACCCATTGATTTTTTTTCTTCCCTTCCCCTAATGGTTTCTTTGCATCACTGTATATTAGACTTCTGCTCTGTTACCAGAGATGAACCTAAGTAATAATGTTTAGGTTTGTATCTGTATCCATTTTATTGCCAGCATTTGGATGGGGGGGGTTGCATATGGGGTAAAGGAGGCCAAGCTCTAAATACAAATACAAATCACAACTCTTCCCAAAATTCAGAGATGCCTGTATGCAGGAATCTGGTTTGGGTCCATCTCTACTTATTACAATCACTGAGGGAGATATTTAATGCCAAACAAGGAGAGGCATTGCTGAGGTTAGGCCGGGGCATGAAACTAGGGCAGATGAGGTGAAATGGAGCAATAGCAAACTGAAGTTGTTAGGAAAATTGGTCTGACAGTTAACATCCATGCCCCTGTGGAATAATTGTCAGTGGCAATTGGGTGTGTTCTGTTATGAAATGCCACACAGAAAACAATCACTGAATAATGCAATGCAATACAAGGAACAATCCTACAACCAATGAGCAGCAGTAGTCTTGCTCTCTTACATGTATGTTCCTTTCGCCTCTAATCTGATGGTTCTTTTACTGTCACCTACCTCCTCCCACCCAAGTCAGATTTTTGTTGAGTGGTAGCACTGTTGTACACTGCTGAATTTACTTTAATAAACCAAATGTATTGCTGGCAGTGCCTGGAAGTAACTGCTGCTTGGGGGTGGGGGGGGATTTTATATTAACCCCTTCCACTCTGCATTATTTTATTTAAAAATAATAAAGTACGAGTTCAAAGTAATATTACACTCATATGTTTGGAACATATAGAATAGTGCAAACGGAAATCTAGGGGGTTCTGGGAAGTGTTGGGGAAAGGTGTTATTCAGGGACTGGTGATGCAAAGGATTGGGTGGGTATGGAATAGGAAAAACAGACAGAGGAGAAGGGCAGGGTGACAGATGGCAGCAAGGAGACTGTTTAGTGTAGCACTTGGAAGCAGGGCCATCTGGAAGACAAGATGGGAATGTGGGGCAGCTGATGAGGCTTGACAGACTTAAGGAATATCAGGCTAAATAGAAGCGTTTCAGTACAATTGGAAGGTTGTGTTGCTTTGCTTAGACAGGACAGTGTTGCTCTCAAGAGCCTAGAATAAATATATTGAAAATGCTGGGAAAGAGTTCACATCAAAGCCCATATCCTTCAAGCAACTCCATACAGAGCCCCACGGGCTTCCTGCGTGTGGGCAGGGTCTCCCTTCCAGCACTGGGGCCCAACATCTTTGACAGGGGAAGTTTCTAAGCTTAGAACCTGCTATTTATTTTTTATTTCTTACCATTTTTAAATGTATGTGTTTCTTTATTTTCTGGGGTGTTTTGTTTGTTTCTAGCCCACACTTAGTCCTTATGTCTCTGATTTTGTTTCTGTTTTTAGGATTTAATTTTACCTGTTGTGCTGTGCCAGTGTTGTGAGTATTTTAATTTCATGCTCAGGCTTTTGGTATTGGGTTTTTCTTTTAGTTAGGCTTTTGCTTTTCTCAGGAGACACTGGTAGACAGTAATATTGAAAAGAAGCCTCTTCTAACTGGTGAAGACGGTTTTGATTGCACAGTTACTCAGTGCAGTGGTTCCCAAACCATGATTACATGAAGTTCTGGAGCTTTATAATCCCATTCTTGGAGCAGATAATCAAGTAGTGCCCAGTATCAGATGCTGAACTTTGGTGGAGAAAAAAGGGAAGGTATCTTTCTGCTGCTGCTCTGTACATGCTATCTTAGCCCGCATCTGGAGTGGACTTGTATATCCCAAGGTGACCCTGGCTCAAATTGTAGTAGGAGATCAGAGCAGTTGTGCTACCATGAGTATTCCAATGCTTCCCCACCTGTGCCTGGCACCTTATTGTTCTGTGTGAGCTGCTGGGCTCTGCACTGCACAAGGAGTCCCCACCCCTTAGGCAGTACTCTGGAATCCAGTTACTAGAGTCTGTGTTACAGACCCCTGCTGGTTCTGCTGCCTTTGGGGCTTTTGCCATTGCAGAGTCTGCATGGTGGGCCCTGCTGCCCCACCGTTGCCCACATCCCATTAGTTTGTGCTTAATGAAATATAGGAAATGTTGATTTCTGCTATCAAGTTCTTAGTCTGTTCCTAAAGTGCACGAGCCCCTGTCCCAGTACCGTCATACCATGCACAATGGTCCTGAATACTCTTCCATAACAAATACTGTGATGCCCTTTTTACCTGCCTGTTTTACATGCACGAGCAGCTTGGTGCTGGGGGGGAAATGCTGCAGCTGGAGTAATTCTGCTTTTTGCCAGAATCTGCCTTTGGAACTGGTTAGCAGAGCTTGATGGTCTTGAATTGGCCCCTGCTGGGTGTTTCTACATGAGACGCTAACTGCGCAGAGCCTAATAACACTGTGCAGTAGCATGCCAGGCAAAACCTGTGCTACTATGCTACTGCACAGTAGTATTAGGCTAATATGCAGTTAGCATCTGTAAAATCCTGTGAATCAGTGCTACTGTGCTGTAGCACCAGTTACTGCACATTGATTTAGTACTTGGATACGCAGTAACTATGGTGCATTAATTGAACATGTAGATGCACCCACTGAGTCAACTACCAATGACAAGGACTACAGCATAGCATGCATCTCAGGTCATTCATCTCAATAAAGATGGAGAGATTTAGGTAGCTTTCAGGAACAGAATTGTCAGGGCAAAGCTACAGACCAAAATTGCTGCTTTTGGATGGAGAGAAGGGTCTATTTTCAGCCTGGGTGCAGGGGTTAACTCTTACAGTAGGTTTGTGGATGACAGGTTTCCTCAGTGAAAAGTAGGCAAGTCTAAATCTGATGACCTTTCTGGGACTGGATAAGAACAGGTGTGGGTAAGAGACGCAGAGGGGTAACAGGACAAATATGTCCTTCATGATCTTATTCCCCTTAATAGCTTGTGTTCAAGTTTGGTAGAGTCCCAGACCCTCTCCTCATACTGGAGCTAAGCTTGTTTTGTTGAAGTGCAGATGATATGCCATTCACTGACGTGTGGATTTTGTTATGCTTTTCAGCCTTATTTTTTTGAAACCCAATCTGGAGAGTCTGGATTTCTTTGACCTGATGTGGATTGTGGGGATCACAGACTTTGTACTGAAGTACTTCACCATTGCATTGAAATGCCTGATTGTTGCCCTGCCTAAAATCATTCTGGCTGTCAAATCAAAGGTAAAAGGACTCTGCTTTTCTCCTGATCTTTGCTTGACTGGAACCACCAAATGAAACCATTCTTTTAGTTTGTGTCCAGAATTTGCTTGGTCCTTGCCATGGGGTGCACCATGCAAGGGAAGCTGTCTCTCCTGCATGACACGTAAGGACCAGATAAAAAGTCACTGTTGACGGGATTGTCAAGACTGCTCCTTCCCTGCTTTCAGGAGTTATACTTTCCCCCCAGAAAGGGAAAAGAAGATATGAAGCCATAATCCAGCTGCAAAGCATAAGTGTACAACACTGTTTCTTTCTACAGGCAATGGGCAATTTGCCTAAACTACACTTTGTGGACCAGCTATCCTCTACCCCAAAGATAAATACAGTGGATTATAAAGATAAAAATCACATATTTTCTTGAATACCTTAGCTGTATAACTGACAGTACATCACATTATTAAAACACTCTGATTTGCCTTTGTGCATGTATGCAGCAGAGCTAGTTAAATTGAAGGCTTTGCATGTTGCAAAGTTTGAAATTTTTAGGGAAAAACAGGCAGCCTTTGGTTAAATAATAGTTTGAGTCATTGTGGAACTGATAGAAATGTTTTTAAAATATTAGCATCAGATAAAATTATCTTTTCCCCCTGTTATTTCCCTCACCCTCTACTTTATTAAATCTGACTTCCAGGAACTCTTCCAGCCTTGCTTGGCCTGGACTGAAACTAAATTAGCAAGGTTCACTCCATATTTAGACTCAATTCCACTTTATAAACATAATTTGTTAGTGCAAGAGTTCTGTGTTGTTATATCTGGGCTCTCATTTTGACAGGTGAATGTTTCACTTTAATAATAAAATTAGTTTCTAATTTTGGATAGTCAGCTTGACACCTTCAAGGGCTGGTTTTCAGAGGCACTAGTTTTCTTGACTTGGAGTCAGAATTGAACTCTAACATAATTAGAGTGCACTATGTTGCTACTTCTTGAGTGTTATGTGAAATGTTGGTTCTGATCTCTTGTGTTTATTGCAGACCAGTAGCACTTCTTTTTCTTTCTAAAGTTAGGTATGTTAACCCTAGTGTTCTGGGCAAATTCCAGCTGAAAAAAAAAAACCTTATTTCCCTGTAGGCTTGTCTGCGCATACAAACTATACCAATTTATCTGTGCTAGTACAGTAAAGGTAGTGTTAGAATGATACTGTAACCATGATGATCCTGGAATTATGTGAGAAGCAAGGATTTCTTTAGGCAATATAAAGCGATTTAGGCAATTTCTTTAGTTCAGTAAAAGATAGAACTAACTGTCTGGTTGGGGTAGAGTTAGGCAGGCCTTGAAACGCAAGACATTCTCCTTCAAGTGTGAGGAGAAAAGCCAGCGCATGACTGTTGTTGTACTAGCTTTTCTCCTTAGACTTGAAGAAAAATGTCTTTCATTTGAAAGCAGCTAGTCTAACTCTATTCCAACTATGCAGCTGGTCCAATAAAAGATAATACCCAAAGAAATCCTTGCCTCTCACAAGTACAGTTAAAACAGAACACTTTCCTATGTCCACAGTTACATATCTATCTATCTATCTATCCATCCACCTATCCAGGTATCTATCTATCTATCTATCTAAAGGTGCCTTCTGCCTGTATAGCTTATTTCCATAAGGAAAAGAACACAATTAAACCAGGGTTAGGCAACCTTTTCTGGCTGTGGGCCAGAATGACCCACCCTGGGTTGGAGGAGGGCGGGCACTAGCACTCTGTCACTGCAGCTGGCGTTCATCCCCACATCAGCATGAGAAGAGTGACTGCAGAAGGTGTTGCATGGTGCCAAAGCCCATATTTGCAAGTCAGATCTACCCATAGGTTGTAGGTTGCTGACACTTGATCTAAACTGGTATTGGTTGAGTTAAACCTCTTCGGAGCCTCTGTTTTTAAGATATCTGTAAGGGACAGTTGAATAGAGGCCACTACAAGTTTATTCTGGATTTTGAACCGTCTCACTGAAGAGGCTTTGCAAGATCTGTTTTGGAAAAGGTGTTGGTGGAGGGAGAGAAGCAAGACGAACTGCACATGGAAAAAGAGAATAAAGTAAAATAGAGCCTGAACATGCAGATAGTAGCACAACCCAGAGAAAAGCCTGGAGAAAGGGTAAGCTTTGGAGAATGAGGTGCTGGCTGAGAGAGGTTGGTCTGGTGAGCAGGAAAACTGGTTGTCCAGTTCCTTCTGTATTCAGGAAAATAAGGCTGTGTACATTTGTGTGCATTCTGTGGCAGTAGACAAAACTGCATCAGAGAAAAGCCTGACTCCACTACAGCTTGCTCCTGTTTAGTAAAACAGATGGCAAGTCCCCAAGTTTTCAGCTAACCACTTGAGTCAAAAGGATAAGAGCATCTTTATCCAGATGTGGCAGCCACAGTATTTGGGCACTCCTTCCACTTCAGTAGAAAGTAACACTCTTAAATGAAATTATTAAATCAGTGCAGATAAATTATAGATCATTTTTATCCTTTTGACCTTTTCCTAACACTTTCTTAAGCTGCTGTCTAATGTCTTTTAACAGCACACAGGAAGCTGTCATGTCCCACCTCAGAGGTGTCTTAAGTTTCGTGGTGATCATGGTACATTTAGTTTGCATATCAGTTAAGTTTCATGAAGAAGATGTTTGTCAGCCTTTAGGAATAAAAGTGCTATAGCATTGCAAAATGTCAACATTAATATCACTGAAAGTCTTGGGCAGAGCACTTAAAGGGAACATCTAAACCAGAAATAGTTTTGCTTACAAATGACATGGGTGGCAGGGGAGTTGAGCAGTTTGTCCCTGCGCAGCAGGGCTATTCGAGATGGTTATTAATTTATCTCTGGCAATTGTCCAGGTTCTTTTTTTTTTTCTTCTATTATTATTATTATTTTATTTTGGGAGATTAATGTGGTGGGTCAGAGCATAATCCAGCTTGCAAAAAAAAAAGTGATGTGAATAGTCTTCCCAAGATAAATTGCAGCGCTGGAAAAGGTTCACAGCCTTTGCTTGCTCGTCTGAGAGCTATCCCAAGTACTCATTAATCCTTGTCGGGGGAGATGAAAGAGACTGAGTCTTTATTTGCAGCTACAGTGGGAGGCTGGTAAGATCACATCTGTCAAGGGCCTATAATGTCTCAGAGCACAGATGCTTCATTTTTAATACCTTTTTCTTGATAGTGATATTTCTCTGATATATTTTTTAAGTCCCTTTTTGTCTTAGATGGTGGGTGATGGCCATTCTGTCCTTAGACATCTGAGGCTGTTGCTGCCTGCCACTTTGTTCTGGTTTTATGTTGTTACCCCACTGAGCTCCCTGCCCATCAAGCCAGTTTGGCCTGTGATCTATTCTGATTTAACAAAATTAGGCAGGATCATACTTAGATGAGCAGCTTCCAAGAAAAGCCTAAGATGTTCTAGGAAGTGATACTGGTTACTGTGTAGATACAGGTCTTCACTACACTGAAGTCGCAGCTTAGCTTTATTGAGGCAGTGTGATTTCATAGTTTCATAGTTGATAGGGGCAGAAGGGACCTAAGCAGATCATCAAGTCCGACCCCCTGCCATGGGTAAGAAAGGATGCTGGAGTCAAACAACCCTGGCTAGGTGGTTGTCTAGCCTCCTTTTGAAGACCCCTAGGGTAGGGGCGAGCACCACTTCTCTTGCAAGTTGGTTCCAGCTCCTAGTTGCCCTGACTGTGAAGTAGTGCCTCTTGATATCTAGCCTGAATCTACTCTCAGTCAACTTATGGCCGTTATTCCTTGTTGCTCCCGGTAGGGCTTGGGGGAGCAGGGGCTCTCCCATTGCCTGCTGGAGGTTTCCCGTTGTGATGCTGGAGGTCTCCATATTTTTTCAAATGAGATTGTAAATATCTCTATCAGAATTTGTCAAGACAATGTACTTAAAGTGCTAGTTGTCTATTTAAGTGATAACCTTAAATAGACAAAAGTTTGTGTTTCAGTCTGCCACCTTGATGCTTGCTCTTCTTGTATTTATCAGCCAAATATACTACACTTGATCTGAGCCTTCAAGAGACCAAGTAAGAGACCTGCTTGCTTCCTTCCCAAAATCCTTGCCTGGTGTTGGTTATTGAAATAAGTTGTGTTTACCATTCCTTCCATGGCTACAGCATAGTGGTGGGGGATGCAATGCTTATTAATGGGTGGAGAGTGTAACAAGATGCTTTGAATGTTTCAAGATGCAAATTACTGGAGAATTGTAAACTATATTATCCACAGAGAGCTGGATGTTCTTTTTAGCTGCTCTGAGGTATGCTATAGGGAACTACTATTGGAGGGTGTTTGTTTCTGTTCAAAGCAGAGGGTTCCAGTCACTTAGTCTAGGACTAATAATGAAGAGCCTCATGCCTTAGGCATTAGAGATAATGGATCTTTTGGTGCTCAAAGCACTGGTGATAGCAAAGGATGACTGGCAGGTAGCTTATGAACATAGTAAAATGTGCTAGACTTTGACTTCTAATGATGCATGGTGCGGTCTGTGCCGTCCAAATCCTGTTGCTTTACAGATGTGTGATACAAGTAGATCTAATCCTGCTTCAAAGTCTCTTCGGTGTTTTTAAAAACTATATTCTGCCTTGTGCATGTAACCAGGTGTAAGAGGAATTAATTGTGCCAGTGCTGTTTACATGACTATACCATGTAATACTTCTCTGCCTAATATTACCATATACTTTGTTTCAAATGTTAATGAAAGGCATAACAAAAAAAAAAAAAAAGAAAAAGATTATATAATTCAACAACCACTGTGAAGCAGGGCAGGGGGAATATATACATATTCTTCCTGAGTTGTCTGGTCTGCCTTCCTTATATTCATCCACTGCTACCTGTAGTGAGGTTTCCTAATTTGGGAATAATACACAGCTTGTATCTTTCTGAGTTTGACTTTGGATCAATCACCATCATAATTATTCTCATTGAGCTCAGAGGCTTTTCCAAAGCTACTCTGACCCTTTCTGGTACTCCTCAACCTTTTCCAAACTGTTCTGAATATTAGCTG